TTGCTTCATCAAAGTTATTCTTTTCCATATGAATATTCCCAATACAACAGTGCAGACCAGCAATGTAGATCAAATCAGATGGTTCCGTACGAATTTTTCTGTCCAATGCTCTTTGAAACCATTGTAGGCTACGATTAAAATCTTTTCTGTTTGAATACAGTACACCAAATGAGTAACATAAATGAGCATATGAAGTGTCATCAGGAGAACACTTCTTACGTACATCGATATAGACTTTTTCTGCCGAATCATATTTTCCCATATGTTGAAGTACATCACCAAAAAACTTAAGATCAGCTTCGTTCTCGCCACCTCCATAATCTGCTTTCAACTGATCGAAAAGCTTCTTCAACTCATTGTCATTATTTTCTGCTAACTGCATTTTAATTATCCAAATGTTTTCTTTATCATCTGGATAGATATTGATCAAACGAAATATACATCCAACCATAAATAATATTTCAGATTCTTGACTGAAATAACTTAATGAACTAATATCAGCAAATGGTTTTGATTTCACAACACGTGGATCAGCTTCAATGTCAAATAATATTCCACGTAAGTCATTCGAAATGGTCGTACGCTTCATGAATTTTAATGCTGTATCACGATCAGAACTAGTTGAAAAAAATGAATTAATTGAGATAAATTGACCGATCGAGTTTTGAAGAGTATTTAATTCATCAGCATACATAGCTTGATAACGATAAACACGAACAGTATCTTGACATTGGTGCTGTGTGAGTCGCTGATAAATGTCATGAATTACAAAGCGAAATAATAATAATAATTCAATGTTCTGCACTCGCAAAGCTTTGTTTAACATTCTGTATACAAATGCATCACGAGTATACCACCATATAGCTTTTTTAGGCTTATAGTAACCTTCGAATTCATGAACAATTTCTAGTTGATGATCATTGTCACTAAATTCTTCTTCACAAAGTTGAATCAGTTTTTTTTTGTCAGTGTCACTAGATTTCATTCTAATGAGAACGTCGATTAATAATAGAGAATGAATAAATTGACCATTGAGTTCAGTCATTGATTTATCTACATTACCACTAACATTGTAAAAATTCATACACATTGGTTCTTCTACTTTTCCTCGATCTTTTTGATCCATTGTGATTTGTTGAATGAGATCATCAAGTTGAACGACTACACCTTTTATCTTCAAACAAGTAAATGAAAATGATTAAAATATCGAAATACAAAAACACAAGTTTCATACTTTACTATACTGTTTTGCCCAATCTTTATATGCTTTCTTATCCCAACAATAGATGTAAAAAGCAGAAACTTGTCGAAGATTGTGAAGCTGAGGTATTAATTCTTTGCTTAATCGACCACTAATGATAAGAACAACTCGATCATGTTCAGAACAAGAATTAATATATTGTTGACATTCATTTTGATCATGAAATATTTCGAGATGATTGATGATTGAACGAAGTCGCTTTTGTGCTCGCTTGTTGTCTTCTGTTGTATTGACTTCTGCATCAAGCCAAAGAAGAGAAAATGTTTCCAAATTATGGACTTTTGTTTGAGCGCTCGTTTTTTTTGCAGCAGTCATATATGTATGAATAGTAATATTCGAATAAAGTATTTTGATATAAATATATTGGCCTTATGGTTGGATTTTTCAACGTGGTATAATGCATCAACGCACGTGTATACTACGCTTTTTTTCTACTTGTTTTTTTCCCATGATTTTTTTATCATATAGGCAATCATTACATTTTCTTAATTGAAAATTATTGATGTATGAAATATACAGACAAACCAACGCATATGTTTTTTAACGACCAATAGAATGATAATTTTTAACTGATTACTTTGTCATTTATGTATATATGTTGACTATACGACTAGCTGAATGAGAAAGTGCAATTTATTTACATAAATATCGTCATCTTGCAATCGTATACATGTATTCAAACTATCGAAAAATATTTTTGCTATTCTTTAGTATTGCATCACATTAAGTAATGGATTTTGATTCTTTTTCTCTTATTTGTTGAAATAAAAATTTTATATTAGTCATGTTGTTTTTCTTTATCTTTGGAAATAAATTAATTTCTTTGTTTTTTCAGGAATTGACTGATAAATATGACTGTTTTCTCTCAAAATACAAAAACAAAGTTTTGGATTATTGAATACTTGATGTTAGTACTTGAATAGATCGAACACATGTGTCATGACGTTTGAAACATAACTAAAGAAAAGCAGTCGTCGAAATAGATAAGTGAAATTCGAAGCTATCGGTTGGACCATCAGTATCAAGAATAATTTTGATGGTATATACACTAAAGCAGATAATAGGGGACTAGGATTGTCACTTTGTCTTATTATCAGACAATTATTAAAAACGATTTAGACGAAAGAATAAAAATTAGTTAAATGTATTCTTCCGACAAAAAGAAACATTCATCAGCAGTGAATAAATTCATCCTAATGAATAGTTCAATAATGGCTTGTATTTTCAAGTATGACATGAATAGATATATGCTAGAGAAAAATCTCCAAAGATATAAATCTTTTCATTTGTAAAAGAAAATAACTATATTTGAAATGAAGGATATGGGTGTAAATCAATATCAAAAAGTTCCACACCCTCTCAAATTCATGATTTTAATGAGTAACTTGCTAGAATTCAATATGAAACAAGATTTCATGATAAGATTCTAGAACAGTTCTATTTATGCAAAATATTTGATCATCAATAGGTATTTCAACTAAAATAACTTTATGTCCATTTTCGATGACTTCTCATTTCCTTTCATCTACTAGAAGTTCATCACCATAGTTCATTAATTCTGGTACACAATTATCAATTGTTATTAATAAATAAATAGCACATTGCAAGTTAATAGATTTCATACAACAACAACAACAATTATTCAATGATCTTATTATTTGCATTAGATATTTTTAATAAACAACAAAATAAATCTATCATCTGTTCTAATTATGTTTTCGAATCCTTTATTTATTGATGATAACGAAAATCTTTGTATTCTTAGAAAATTATTTGATGATTTCGAAAGAAAATTTTTAGATGAAAATTCAAAATGAAAAAGAAACGATATTTTAACACAACAACTGACTCTATCATTAATATTAGATAGATAATCAAGAACTTTTTCTTTGTTTGAATACATCATGTTTAGGTACATAATTATGACTCAGAACCTAATAAAAAGATTGACAAATAAGAAACAATGAAAGATTATTCAATCTATGATATATTATAAACAGATACAGAAATCGAACTTAATCTAACTAATTTTTGAAAAGCAAATAAATATGAACAAATACATAAGAAAAATGATTAATTGAGTCATAATATTTTTTGTAAAATTATGATGCTGTATGAGAGATTATCAAACTATTTTTGATCGAACATTTTACATTAGGGATTATGAACAAACAATTTAAATTTATAAAAATTTATCAAATCAAGAAATACATTGTAGAAGATTTCATTTTATTTTAAATTTAAATCGAATTTATATAAAATTTAAAAAAATTCAATAAACTTCAAAATAATTTAAATTACATCTAAATATATTTAAAGTATTTTAAGCTTCAGCAAATGTATTTGTACAAGCCTTAGATTACCATTAAAAAATAACAGAAACCGAGTGCAGCCGTTTTCTTACAGAATCTTCTATAGTGATGCTCGAATATTAACGTATGAAAGCAGTTTCTCTCCCTTTTTTTTAATCTATTTTTCTTGAAGTCATGTATTTTGACGATTGAATTATTAAATTTAAATTCACAAAAAATTATTATTTTCAAATATTAATTCTCAAAATTTTAAATCTAAAATTATTTTAAATTAAAATTTTTATATTAAAAAAAGATTTTTATTTAATTTAAATTTATATTGGCAACAGTTTTAGTTTAAAATAAATTTACAAAAAAATACGACACCTTTCAAGAATCGAATTGAATTGAAACCTGCGAAAGTCAGTTCGATTCGATCTCTGAATTACAAACAACTGCATTGATTAATTGATCTAGTCACTTTTTTAATTTTATCAATTTTAATGATTTTATTTATATAATCCGATCAAAATTTTATCATCATCATCATATTCTTCAAAAAAACAAAAAATAATAATAATAATACAAAATTCGAGAAATAAATCTTATCCATATTGTCGTCAATAAAAATAAATTGAAACTATTCAAATTAATGAGTGAACACTATAGTCAATGACAAATCATTTTTAAGATAGATCTTTAAACATCTTATCGTATATTTTGAATTTTTTTATAGAACTAGATTTGCAAATATGTCATTTACTCATATGAAATTGCTTCACGTCTTCTCTTTGTAGTGATACTTATATTAATTTTAAATAGAGAAAAAAATTTTAGTAAAGACTATTTTATACTATTTAGAATCATTAGTCTGTAATAAATTCTTCTCTACTTGATATTTTATCACAGACAACATCAAGTTTATCAATAGAGCTTGAGTGTGTCTTATTATCACCTACTTCTACATATATACCTATCCACACTCATCATTAATCGTCGACTTTACTATTGTGAACAAAATCGCAATTGTTTTTGACATCAGATACCAACGACTGTATTATCAAAGATGCAAGCCACACTTATGCACCTTCATTCTTCGTCACCAATAGTGATAGCATCGGTATTATGAATTTACAGTCGATAATACTCATAGAATCAAGTTTTTTAATTAGCTTTGAGTTTATCATAGAGCATCAAAAAATCTTGCAAAAAAAAAAGCAATGATCAAGATATAACTACATTTGAATTGTACATAGAAATTTTTCGTTTATATCGATAACCTTGGATTATGTTTCTAAACTTTCATTTAAGAAACTTGTCCGACACCGACAGCGAGCGTGAGCGAAAGACCAAATGCTACAAGAATGTGAAGTGCAAGAAGGAAAGTTTTTATTCGTTCTTTAAGTATATTTTCTGAAGATGATCGATCATTAATCGATGTAGACTCGCTACCATTATTGACAACATTCATTTCCAAAGACTTGTTTACATTTTTAACGTTAAATAGTGGCCAATGCTTGCGGTTGAAAAGTTCAAGACACTCGAAGCCGATCAATATAACGAACTCCACCGATAACCATGCCACAAGAATTCGCCAAGGTTTGTTCATTACAGAATTAAATATAGGAAATAAAGTAGCAAGAAAAATAGTCACAATCGAGAGCATCCATGCACCAATGCCAACTATAGCATGTGCATAGTTGAAAATAAATCGATATTGATGATCAGGATGACATCGAAATAGAGCCATCGTCGGTTGGATAAAAGCAGCACTAACAACAAGCATTCCAATGATTGAATGAACAAATTCACGCGATAGATTTTGAGAAGTCCATGTACCTCGTTTATATATAAGAATGAGTGTGAATGCAATCATCGTCATTATTGCAGCAAAAGTCATAACTGATCGATGTACAAAAAACCATATTGGTTTACCGCAAAGTTTTCGCTGGGGCCAAGACTGTTTAAAATATCGAGCAATAAGAATACCTGTCGAAATAAATAGCATCCAAATAAATAACATAATAATACCATGAGCTCGCATTAAATTTCTTCTGTCATCGTCTAAACTTTGAAAATTTATCATTGTTACTGTTCCTAATTGATTGAGTTGAATCATTTGCGTTAGCACACTTGCTGAGGTATGTTGTATTAATGAATCTATTATATTAATATGAACAAAAGTTCAATCTATTTTTCCTGTGGGGAAAAAAAGCATCTTACTTGAACTGTCTAGACGTCCTACAGCCACAAGAATATGATATTGAATATTTTGTGAAAGTAAAGAAATGCTCCGTTTTCTTCGTCGACTGGCTGTAGTAGTAAAATTTGATAGAGTAAATTCACAGTAGACCATACCATTATTCAGAGCTACTCGTGTTACTTTAAATATGCCACCATAATTTGAATCAGCAGTAACTATAGTTGGAAACGAATAACTACCAATATTGATGAAACGTTGAAGTTGAATTGTATCGTCATTCAAGCGTTGACACATAAATACATGATCCTCGCCCTACGAAAAAAAAACAAAATTAAAGATTGAAAAAAAAACTCCTATTGTTCTATACCATTCTATCATCAAGCGACAAGCCGATGCCAAGCCATTGGGATGTTCCGAGATTGTTAGTCTCTATTGCAACAGTTGTTATTTCGCCAAAATATGTCCAGTTCAAATTGAGTGCTGTACCAGTCACTTGTGAATAGAGTGTAGTCGTGGTATTTACTGATGATATTGATGTCTGAAAGACAATGGCAAACATATTTTTAAAATCTTAAAAACATGAAAACGATATCTGAATTCTACACTAGATGATTGCCAAACTGCAGCGGTAGTTGTAGATGAAACATCATGTATGCTTGTCGAAGAGATCTAAAGAAATTATCATAAATTAAATACGAAAGAAGAATCTTTAGTCAATTAGATGACTTACACTTTTAGGAGTCAGTGTAATGCTAAAACAATTGACGTAAAACATGCTGAATGATTGAACGATCGTTGTTCTAAGAATTTATTTTAGTTAT